CACGTCTCCAGCGAAGGGGGAATCGCCCTGACCTCGTTGCCCAGCGCCCTGGTTACCCCTCACGTTGCCTGACGCTCAGTTGGGCGGCCATGCATCCAACAGCGAGGCACTTGCAGCTGAGCGTCCGAAGTTTCAGTGCCACGACTTTCCAACAAGATGAAACAGGAGGCTCAAAAAAATGGTCCTCAAGAATGGCTCTCTCAAGCTCACAAAAAGCCAAAAAAAAAAACGACATCGTTGTGATGGGAATTGAGCCCAACGCGGGGGTCGAACCCGCAACCTTGAGATGAACTCTGAGTAAGAGTCTCACGCTCTACCGATTGAGCTAGCCGGGCGGCTACTGATGATTAGATGCAAATGGCAAACAATTAATATAGATTTGTGAAAAATCGTGATCAGCAAACTCAGAAAGGCGCGAGCGGCGGTCTAAGCCACAAGGAAAATGAGTTGCCCAGAGCTTAAGTACTGGAGCAGAGGCCTATGCGTAAGCATGACCATAGACGTATGATCAGACCCCATGACGTATGCATAACCGCAAGCATATGACATAACCATGACAACAGGAACGGGAATCCCGTGACAATAGTGTTCCGCACAAGTGCAAACCACTCGCCAATGATCTTTGGATCCTCGCACTTGGCCCTCTGGTAGTCGTATCTACCCGTATAATGCGTTCGAAGCTTTGGCTGGCGTTTGAACGAAGTTGTATACCCAGCGTTTACCGGTAGGGAGTACGTCGCGTTCACGAAGCAGTTGATTGGCTATATCTTCCATACTACGCAACCTTGGTGGAAACCTCGCAAATTAGCTCAATTGCATCTTGAACAATTGCCTCCCCTTCTGATTGTATGAGCTTTTTCGAATAGGGGCAGTATCGCGTCGTGAAGGCCGGCCCGAGCGTCGTCGGGTTAAGGTTATATGGTTAACATTGTAGATCTTGGCTGCAGTTAAAAGGTTTAGGTTTTTGTCGCTTTGGAGAGCCTGGAGGGCTAAGATCACCCTGCCTTCATCTAAAGTAGCGGGTATGTTAAATGGTTGAAAAAGGTTGGTGTTGAGGAGAGAGGTGGCGTGTCGCGTAAAATTTGTTCACTCGCTTATCGTGATCACTCGCTTATTATACACGTTAAGCGTCTTGAACCTAAATGAACGGGACAATTAGTATACAGCTTGATTAAAGAAGGTGTCATAGACCTTTCCTTCCTATAAGATAGTTGGGAGTATTGTGTAGACGACTTGTAGGTAGTGTGCTTGCTGTTCAGGGGGTTTAAGTAGCTTGGAGAATATGTTGTTATTGTTTACCTCCTCGACTTCCCACTTTCCCAGGTAAGAATGATTGCTGTTAATCTGGGCCGCCAGTAGTCCGTATCCCCCTTCAGAGCCAGCCAGTCGAGCCAGTGCACTCCCTACATCTACATTTCAAGAAAGCACTTTCCATGAAGTTTGAGGCTGTAATAGCTTGAAACATAAAGTTTACAGCTGGTATGGAGTGCCATTACTTGTGGTAGCCATGCAAATGTCGGCCCAGGGACTATCCGGCGTGCTGACGCTCGAAGCCTCACGCCCCGGGCGCGGGGGGGTGGGTGGGGGGAACAATCCAGTCAATTACTGTCACTCAAGTTGGTTGCTATGCTTACTGCACTACAGTTAACTACTGCCATAAAACGAGCTTTCATCGTTTTCCTAGGACTACTTTATGCCATGAAATTACATAAACTGCTGCATTGTAGCGATCAGTTCAAGTCCACTCCCCCCTGGTCAACGTTCTTGCCTCCTACCAGCACCCGCGATGGCTGCCAGTTTTCCTTGTCTACTCCCTTCGGCGCCTTCGCCTGTACCGCCAAGCTCTCACCAGGCCACACTGTGACGTAATTGTCATCCCACGTAACCGGTAAGACATCTCGTCCCTGGTAGTCGACCAGTTTCAGGCTGACGAAAAACGCCGGGACCGCTGACTTGTTCTCCAAGGTGATGTCGACCGTACTGGTTTTGCCCTTTGCGGTAGAAACCGCGACTTGTGCTGGTGAAAGCCGGTTCAAGGCTGTGTAGTCGGAATACTTGCTAGCGGGTGTCACATACCATTCCGACTTGTCCCAGTCCAGCACGTCCTCGTCCTTGGCGACCCAATAGACATTCCGGCTCAGCAGCTGCTCTCGACCTTGCGCATCCCAGAGGAGGAGCCGAAGAAAGACTGGTTCCGTGACATTCCCAAACGCCTCATCCAGGGACAGGATTTTCTGGCTACTGTTTGGGGCCGTCGTGACCACTGCCGTGCCCTTGTACGCCGACCTGCCATGCATATCCATCACCTCCACCTCGATCTTCCTTGCCCCTCCCTTGTCCAACGACCGGTTGACCAGCCACACCTCCCTTTTCACATAGTCAAACGCCGTGTTCTCCACTTTCCCACCAGCTTTGGCCCCGAAGTAGCTCCCCGCCGGCCGCATGTAGTAATCCCAGAGGTTCCAGTGCAAGCTCGGCCAGCCATTGTTGAGCATCCAGTAGATCATGCCCGTCGCAGGCCTCTTAGCGTTCCACATGGCACTGTACGCTTCAACCTGCGCCCTGGTCGCCTCATAATCCATCAGCTGCACCTTTATCAGGTAGTCCTCCAGGCTCGATGGCGCGCCCCACCGCTTCCACAGCGCAGCATTGTAAATCTTTCTAGTCTCAAACTGCGACGTCTCCCTCGACATGTGAAACTGACTTCGATTCGGATTCCTCCACAAACTCTCAATCTCCTCACCCGTCAAAAACTCCCGCAACGACCCCAACTCGGGCGTGCCCACCCCGGCCCCAAGCTCCGACCCAAACCCAAACGCCGCGCCCCTCCTCTCCTCAGCGGGCTCCGTATTCCACCAGTACCCAGGCGGAACCCAGTCATACGGCCCCTCCATCTTCATCCCCGACGGGCCCGTCTGCTCCGAGAACCCCCTCTTCGACGCCGACCCAATCACAGGTCCCTCCCAGTCCACCGTCTCAAACGCCTCCAAATACCCCCTCGTAGCCCTTTCATCGGGCCAGTAATCACTCCCAATCAAAAACCCCAGCACGCTCGCATGCGCTTGCATCATGCCCGCCTCGTGTAGCATACTCCGCCTCGCAATATCATAGTCCGCATCCGACCACATGGGCACGGGCTGCACGCCCAAGTCGGCGTTGTACTCCCACGCCTCCCACTTATCGCAACATTCCCACCCGGGCAGGATCATCACCCCCAACCGGTCGGCGGCGGCGTACAGCCAGGGGTGTTCGTTCTTGCCCTCGAGGCGGATCGTGTTGAAACCGAGGTCGAGAAGGTATTGCAGCGTTGTGTCCCAGTCGGAAGGGGACGAGCGCAGGAAGAGGTTCGGCGTGTAGCCTGCGCCGAGGATTTGGAAGGGACGGGTGTTGACGTGGAAGGTTATGTCGTTGTGGGCGTTGAGAGTCGTGGTGATGGTGCGCAGGCCGAAGGTTACTGTGGCGTGGTCGGATGGATGATGGAAATTGGCAACGTGGAGGGTGAGGGTGGCCTTGTATAGCGGCTGGGCGCCCCATTGGCGGGGCCACCAAATCTTGGGGTTGGTGATGGTCTTGCTGAGGATGAGGTCGGTGGCGGAGAGCGGCGGGAGGGTGAAGGTTTGGTTCCAACCGACGAGGCGACCGCCGGATACCGGGGTGAGGAGACCCGCTGCTGTGACGGTGACGGGTCTGTCCTCGAGATTGTGCACTTTGGCCTTGATAGTCACGTTGGCTGGTGCCGTTTCAAGTGGTGTGCCGAGATGTGTGACGACGCGCATCGGGTCCAGCTTGACGGGACCCGTCAGCTTGACCTCAACATCTCGCCAGACACCGGTACCGTTGTCGGCCGGCCAGGGGTTCCAATCGACCCAGCCCAGCGCAAGGTCGCGATAGTAGTCGGTCGGATAGACCTGGATGGCCAGCGCGTTTTCCTTGCCCACAAGATTCGTGATCTCGTAGGTCCGGCCGACGTATGAGCCGGCCTGCTCGGATGAAGCGGCCACTTGCCTGCCGTTGAGGAAGATGTCGGCCCGAGATGAGATGCCGTGTGTCCGCAGAAAGTAGTGGTGGCCCGGTCCAGGGTCGAGCAAGAACTCATGGCGATAAATCCATGGCACCAGAAACTGGTTCCCGTCGACTCGGCGCAGGTTGTCAGAGTAGAATAGCTCTTTCTCTGTGTACACCCCGGCCTCGATCAGGCATCCCATGAGCGTGCATTTGGAGACTGGGACATGGTGCCATGACGTGGTGTTGAGACCTGTCTGTGAAAGACTGGCGGGGTCGTTCGCGACCACGGCTGACGACTGCAAGTCCCAGGAAGGGATTGCAGCGGTTTGACGTGGTGCAGCCACTAGGACGGCTGCATTTGCTATTTGCAGCCTCGCGGCGATGGAAAGGGCCGCGGCCGTTCTCTTCATATGCATGTTCGCTTGTCCGATGTAATTCAAGTTGTACCTTGTGAATGGTGCTCGAGAAGCGCAACACTCAATGGGTTCGGGGACCTCTGTTGGTCGAGAAACCTGTGCTGTCGCAGAGGCCTTAGGGGATGAGCTACCGTGAAGTCATGCCTGCCTCGAAGCTGTAGGAAGGCACCGTGCCAACTTCGATCCACTCTGAGATGACTGGTAATTCCTCTTTTGTTCTTGCCCGTCCTCAAGATCAACTCGACTTTTCCCCGCATCACGAATCAAACGTTGCATCTTGGTGTCTCATCACAGGCGGCCACTTGCATGCCCCCAATCAATACTTCCCGTCAGAAGCCCCGCAAATCGCCGTGTTTCCCATCTCGTGCTTGACCGCGGCTCAACTGCCGCCTTCCCGGAGTGGTCGCCAAGTCGGCATTCTCTGCGGCTAAACAAGATCGGTGATTGTTACCGACCTGGAGACAATCAGGCGTATATTGCTAAGCTTTGAGTTTCAACACAGCTACAGCGGTGTTGGTTTGACTCCAGAAGCTGTAGCCTTCCCATCGCCAGGCAATCTCGACGGTATTCCCGGCGATAACCATGTTTCGGTGGCTATTGAGATGGAGAGTCGGAAACAGGAAGAGGAGACCACGGAACTCGTTGCTTGTTGCTCAAGCCAGCGATGCACAAGCGTTGTGGAATGGTTTCAATGTTCGCTCGGGATACTGCCAGACCGTCGGGGCAACCTTCTAACGTTACAAGCGCCCCCCTGGTTTTTCGTTAGCGGCTGACTTTGACGACCAAAGTCCTCCAGGTTTTCAAACTCAACAGTACAACGGCCTTTTTCCATGCAACAGAACTGTTCTACGGAGTGAATGTGAGCTTTCTCTATACTCAATTTTCTTGCGTTCAAGTCGAGTACTCCGTAGATGGCTGTTGAAATGGAAGATCTTGAAAATGGTAGTGGGGACGCCTGTCGTAGTTTCGCGCTAAAAATAAAACTGTAGGAAATACCAGGTATCGCGATACATTAGAAACACAGGGCAAATACCCTCTCCTTGAGAGGGACGTGCTAAAGTGGTGGTTCAGTTGGATGCTCTTCTTCTTTTCTGAATAAGGGGGCGCGAATCTTGCAGCCGCAGTAGTGGTCCTCGAGGTCCTAGACCACGTGACTACTACCCCTGTAATAAACCTGCCCTCACCCGGGTCCTCCTGCGAGGACCTCACTCTGGCGTAGATATTCCAACAAAAACCAGGCTCGCCCAGGACAAAAACAAAAGTTGTATACCAAAAAGACCTGTTGGAAGTGATGGCACTTGAAACTCGGGAACTGTAATACACAGCTGTTACATAAGGTCTGCGAGGTACCCAGATAACTTGAGGAGACGAAGAGAACTCAATTGACAGATTCTGGGCTGGTCCTAAGCAGTCGAAAAGTTCACTGTTTTAGCGGCTCCCATAAAGTGTGTCACCGTGGAATTGTGGCTGTTGGCTTTCCAACAAGACCCCACCAAAACTTTTGTCGAACAACACTAGCGAACCACTCTCAAATCTGACGCAACTCATTGTGTTTCAATTGCCGGTAAGTCCTCCTTCTGATTCGATATAATCCTTCAAGATCTGGGATATCTGGTTGACCCATCTGTTGATAGATTCCTGCTTCACTGAGTCCCAACCCTCCTCTGCAAGCTCCTTTACAATAGAGTCGTCCCAACAAGGCCGTTTCCGTACGTACTGCTTTGGTCCCTGCCAGGCCTTTTCGATAGGCGCGAAGTCGGGGCTTAATGGGCAGTTAAAGTAGCTCTCAAGCCCGTTTGCAGTCTTCCAAGACCGTACGATGTTGTGCAGCCCTTTGCACCTCCATGCTCAGAGTCGTTATCCTCCTCCAACACAAATGAACGCCAAGCCCGGAGCCAGGAGCCTACAACAGGTTCCATAATCTGATCCCGATAGACCTTCATCGTCATTTTGCCATTGGAATTGCTGGGGACATCATACCAAGCGAGATCACTCTTGAACTCGTACCCAACAGCTGCCCAACAATGGAGCCTCTTCATATCCTTTCCGCCGGCTCGCTCTTTCCACCAAACAGTCAGGGCATTACCGCTCCCACGGCCGTTGGAGAAGCTATATCTTGCCCTGAGGTCCCCAGCCAAAGTGACACTCGTCAGAGAACCTAACAGAGTGCCAGTCTTTTGCCTCTGGATACTCTTGCAATATAATGCGGCTATTTGCTTTGGGCGATACTCCTTATCATAAGCAATGTAGCGGCGGAAGTTCACCTCGCGGAGGGCTCGGCGAACGGTACGGCCGGACACCTCGATGTCGAGACCGGGAGCGGCTAGAATTCCTTCCTAAGGAATGGTACGTCTATGGAAACCGCCGTTATCGATGCACTGCTCGATTTGCTTGAGAGCTTGAAGGTCGGAGATCCTCTTCCGGCCGTGGGTTTCCTCGTAATTTGAATGGAAAGTGCGAGGGTCGATATTAAGAGGCGTTTGGCCAAGGAGATAGTAGCCGGCAGTGTGACTGACTCCGTGGACACGGAAGACTTCCTCCTTTGTAAGGAGCTGGTTGGCTCCAAGTAATCCTTGTTGGCGGAGAGAATTGATAATGCCTTCGACCCGAGACTTCTTCGGTGTTGAATGGTGCTTGAAGTTCATTCTGACGTCTGACTGCAATACGATATTGTATGGAGATCGGTATGGACGGAAACGAGGTATGGTGCCTGGAAAGGTGGGGTCACGTCATGCCAGTACCTGGTTTTGGTGTATAGCTTTTTTGTCCAGGGAGTGACAGGACAGGAATCCCAGTTGGTCCACAGTACGACTCCACAACGCCCACCCTATCAGCGGCTGGCGCCTGAGTGGAATCCACAGCAACAAAATATCTGCAGAGTTCCCTCATAAGCCCGCTTTTCGCAACAACTTCTAACAATATCGGAAACCACATCTGATTTAATCGGGTATGGTGTAGCGGTAACATCGTTGACTCTCACTTCTCAGGAGTGACTGCTTTCTCAACAGCCCCGGGTTCGACTCCCGGTATCCGAGTCAATTTTTGTCTCCCAGCTCATCCAAGGAGCCGGCTCAGACACTCCATTCCGAGATTGTTGTTTGCCCATAAAAGTTCTGTGTCTGCTCAGAGGGGTCCAGAACTGGCAGCTATGAGGACAAGGAACCGCCCCCTTTGAACGACAACGATGACTGGAAGCTGTCGTTCTTATGGGGGGGTGAAAATGCGAATCTGACCTGGTAGTTGACCTTTGTTTTTGGGGACCAAATGCTGACTCAGCAGAGCCAAGTCAAGTGACAAAACGCTTATCTGAGGTTCGAAACGGTAGGGAACGCGAACTCGCTCAGTTTGATTATTCCGTTTCCAGCTCCGTTTCCCATCTGTACCGGGATGTGTTCCTAACATGGCCTCTGTGCCGACACGTCCTACCAACGCGTTGCGGAACGTATTCCTAGCCAACCACACGCAATTGCCGCACCTATACGTCTTGGCAAACTGCAAGGCGCAGCAGCAACACGTATCGTAGCAAACCAAGCGCGTTTGCGGCCCTTCACCACTATGCGTCTTGGCAAAATCTTGGGATGCGGTAGCTGACCCAGCACACCCGGCGCACCGCACGCCCGGTGTTTTGCCGGACGCGATCCCGTTCGCATTCCCGGACCGTCGCCGGCTCCGTAACGACTACAAACGGCGCCGGCGACGGGGGCCGGAAGGCATCGCCCATCCGTCGAGTCTTCCGGAACGCCTCCCGCGCATTCGCGTTGGAGATGCATTGTTGGTGCCAGGATTCCGTCCCCTGTCGACGTAGACAAGGCAGAATGTTGACGCGGATCGTTCGGTGCTGGCGTCGATTTGCTCCACTTGCTACACTCGAGAACTAATTAACGACAGAAGGAGTAACTTAGAGCAAAACTGTAGAACTTACCGAGCCACGCGAGTCAAGCGGATAGCCGTTTTCGGTTCACTTTGCCGTTTGTACTCGGTCGATCTAACACCACCACCTAGGCTCGGCCAGGTCTAATCTGGGCGTGGGCGCTTCCCGCCTTTCTTCAGCAAGCTAGACAATCGAGTAGCCTTTGCTTGTACCTCGTGCGCTCTTGAATCCACTTGTTATGAGACCGGCAAGAACCTCCCTAACGTCTGCCTGTCACGGGCAATGCCCGTGCCGGGGTTAGGGTTGCATTCCATGTAGATTAGATAAGGTAAGCTCACTGGAGTGGGTCTTGCGTTGCCACCCTCTTGGTCAGTGCGCAGCCCCACCTTGCCCCAGGGTTTTTCCTCGGCTGCGCACAGCCCACAGAGTTCTGGTTCCTTGTGCGATCTTAGCAATACTACCAGATCACCTAGTATTGCCTGTCACCACCCGTGATACTGCCCTTTCTCCCAACTTATATATATTTTGATGTCTACCGAATTATTATTCCTACACCGCTGTGCCCTAGGGCGTGCCGGACCTTCAACAACTTACTATACAGGAAAACCGCGCCCTCGTGGGCCGGGTGAAAAACCCATAGCAGTTGAGATTGGCAGGGTTATATGACGCAAAACGGTGCGGGGTGTCGCATGTGGGACCAGGGCAAATACTAGAAGCGGCTAGCCCCGTCCCGACGGTTTGGAACCGAGATAATGTTTCTGCAAAGAGCCAATAAAAATAGGGCCTCGCGCCAACATGCTGATGCCGGTCAAACATAACCACCTGGGGCGTCTAACGATCGAGGCCGCCCACCGACCGATACCGTTTTCGTGTTGGTTAAAATAGAATACCTTGTCGATGCCGGGGGATGAGCCGCGATGTCCGGTGCGTTTGAGCAGTGCAAAGTACACACTCTTGCCGTGGTACTCTCGGTTCAGCCATGCGACCGGTGGTGCATCAATCGTAGGAACTTGTACAATCGGTGGAGTGGATTGGTTTAGGTGTCTGAAGCAGACGCGAAGCGATGACTTACACCTACCGGTTATGCCTTTTGTTAGCAATAATTTGCGTTGCTGTCCGCGTATAGTAATACCACGACCACCAAGATGCAAATCGAGCAGACATACGTAGTCAAGCCAGACTCGGTTTTCTTTCTTCCTATCTATCCTGGCTGACGCCCCAGAAGGTAGGCTTGCTGGGCAACAGTCGGGCCACCATACATGTGAGAGACGAGCGTACATTTAGGCGAGGCGCGAGGGCACTGCTAATGGGACTCAATTGTGCTATTCACAAGATGGGGGGAAAGAAAGAGAAGCTGGAAGAGTTCTCGCGATGCAAGGGATCAATGCCAGAGCAAGTGGGGCACGCGCATAGCTCGACGGCAGGCGCTGTCACGATACATGTCACGGGTCGTGACAGTGTGAGGTTCATGTGCGCAACTCCTGGTTCGACTGGACAGTTCGAACCACGGTCCCTCTTTTGAGGTGTTACGCAGTGGTCAGTTGCGCCCACCCGTGACAATACAGAAGCATTGCGCACCCCCTGCTGATGCCCCCCCGATCTCCTTCAGAATCTGTAGATTCCAGAGTGACCTACATACATAGCATTAAGGGAAGCTACATGTCACAAACCAACTATATAGCGAGGCTTGGTAGGGCCATGCAGCTAAGCATGGAGCTGATCATATCATACAAGGGCTGCAGGCTGATGCAGGGGGACGCCCGAGGATGACAGCGTCCAGCGAAAATAGTCAGTATATAGTCACTCATGTAACGGTCCCAGGAGTATATTGCAACTAGCTGGTGACGACTCTACGAGTTTGCCTCGAATGGAGAAAGAAGAAGAAAAGAGAGAACTAGATGACAGGAAGAGAGGGCAGCTCTTATATGCTCCGGAACACACAGACACTGCCTGCTTCAGGATGACGTTATCATGATACCACGGCCGAGGGTTGCCGAGGCCATCATGGGCTCAGCCCATCACACTCATTCTGGAGGACTCTGCGATTTCTTCAATAAGCAATGCTAGTGCAAAATTGTCAGTACCTTCAAGACATTACATATTGTGAGCCGTTAGCTTCACCGAATCCCACCCCGTTGTTAAGTTAAAGAAATCACATATAACTATAGCTTGGAGGATCATTTGATATATAAGATGCAAAAAAATCTACTAGACCAGAAGGTTATAGGTGGGGAGGTAGCTTGAGAAACGCAGTAGGATGGTATTGTTATAAAGGGAGTCCTTTTTTGCTCCTACTTAAGTGTTGGAAGTGATGGCACTTGAAACTCGGAAACTGGGTTGCTGGTGCCTGTGGTGCCGTACCCTGGTCAGGGGTAATACACAGCTGTTACATAAGGTCTGGGAGGCACCCAGGCAACTTGGAGAAGAAGAGAACAGAACTCTCAATTTTACAAATTCTGGGCTGCTCCGGGCACTCTCGAAAAGTTCACTGTTTCAAAAGGCGCGTGTCACCGTGGAATCGTGGCTGTTGGCTTTCCAACATTAAGAAAAAGCAGATTATACGGAGGCCCCTATTTCCGTGCTTCTCACCGCTCAAGACGGAGGACCCTATAATCGACCCCTACGACAGGCGTCCACTAAACCTGAATAAGGATGTAAGTGGAGTTGAGCGTGCGGACTATAACGTGTTCCCATAGTCCTAAAATGGCACGTTCCTTGACGGAGTTCTCCACACATTTGTATAAGAAAGCCTTAGTTAACTGGTGTCCCAAGCGATGAGGAGGATGAGTACCGAGCGAAGTCCACCCAGAACCAGTCGGAGTCATTTTTCACAGTTTCGCAGAGACGTAAGAAAACAATAAGATCAGCAACGCATCAGTACTTTCTCCTATGTGTAATTCTGGAGAAACCTGGAAGTAGAGGGGCAGACATACTATATCAAGGGAGTCCATATTTTATCGCGTTCCTTCTCCGTACCCTCTGCAATGAAGAGCTACTCGTTGCCCTCCTGCTCTAAAGCACTATCCCGAAAATTCTGAAGGGGCGTATGAATACTTTTCTCGTCCGCTTTGGAGAAGCGCACCGATTTTTGCACTGTCATAGTGAGCTAAGGAGTGGGGAGAGTGAAGAGAATGGAGAAACGACGGCTTTCCGGCGCTTGGAGGAGGATGGAGGCTACGATTGCACGAGCGAACTAGTCACCAGGACCGGCTGCTCGAGGGTCGGACGCGGTTGGGTATCCTCAGGAGGGGACGGGATCCTGGCGCTTGATATGCACCTCCATCGCGAATGTGGTGGGAAGCGTCCAGCAGGACTCGATGGGTGTGAATGAAGTAGGATGGGCGTTGCCTTCCGGCCTCCGTCGCCGGCGCCGTTTGGAATTGTTATGGAGGTGGCCGTGAACCGGGAACGCGAACGGGATTTCGCCCGGTACAAAATCGGAAAAGCGTCGGGTCGGCCCTGCTGACTCATGAATGACAGCCGTGCAGGCAGCTCGCAGTTGCTTCCAGCCGGACTTGTTATGTGACTTGTGTTTTTTTGTCTGACACCTTCCTCTCATCTAAATATGTCCTCAACCTCCCAGTCCGCCCTTCGGAACAACTGATCTCATCGCTTACTCTAGTTTCGGGCGAATTCACTGCATCTTTTTACTTTTTGCATCTGAGTCGCAGTCCCAACTCCTGCTAGAAGGACTCTCATTTGCCAGTGAGCATCTGTTGAAGGCTAAACCACCGATTGCCCGCCATGTACGGAGTAACGGGAGATCACTTCCGCTTTGCGCTTTGATTGTCTGCATTCCCTTATTGGCTGCTCGAGGGAACGGTGCGGTACGTTACTGACCATCAATAATCTCGCAGCAGGTATGGTCGGGAGGGGGCACGGTAAGTAGCGTCAGCTTCATTCGCGGTAAAATTTTTGATTTATGGTCTGCTGCACGACGTGCGTTACAAGTCCCCAATCTGGTGACTCAACCGATGCCCCTCCGGCTATGGAAAGTACAGTAAGTGATGGTCTGGACTCTTAGCATCCTCGCCGGAAACCCAGGGCTTACCGAGTGGCCGGGTGTGATTGGAGGCCCCGGTTTCCCTTGGCTGCCTTTGTATTTGCATCTTTGAGTGGGCCCGGCCAACCAAGTCCACCCAATCCGGGTCGATCTTTGGCCGAGACGTTGCATCAGCCCAGCAAGGCTGCCCGCTGTGAGACGGCCGCGTTGACAAACCGAGCAACCCGAGCAGCTGATCTTCGCCATAAGCCCGGGATTTGGAGGTTACCTATTCCTGGACCGCAGACAGCTGCCACAGACGATGATTAGGCTCAGAAGTGGTTTGAAAGGACGAGCCCATCCGGATTCCGTATTACTACTAACGACTTGTAGCAACGGCGGCGAGTGACAACATCCAATGAAGTCCTTGACGCATCCAGTTGTAATCAATAGGACGTAACCGAGTACTCCCACACAGGCACACGCCTTCCCCCGCTCTCCCTTTCCCTAATCGTAATCACAGCAAACAAAGTTATTTCCACCTGGACACGCAGGATCTACCGAAAGGTCCAGGTATTAGCTCTGGGCTCGGGGCCATCTGTCTTCGTTTTGTGAAGTCTCACCTGGAAGGACCCTCCCTCTACAACCAGGTGCAATGGTTGTCCACACGCAACTAGTAGAGATATCGTACTCTGGGCAACCATTGACGATCTCACAGCCCCACACGTTATCCGGGTCGTGGGGACATGGGTAGCTCCCAGGCCGACCCTCGAACGCCCAGCCGCCATATCGGTTGACGCACTCGGTTCTGTCGAGGCAGATGCAATAGGCGTTGCCCCAGACACCGGAACATTGACCCCCGATCGCTGCGAGCACTTCAGTTGGGAGGAAAAGAGCGGATAAGAGAGCGATAGCTCTCATCTTGGTGGTTGGTGTAATAGTGGCCCGGGAGCTGTTGCAATGAAGAGGGGTTTGTTATCAAGAGAAAAGCGTTGTCAGGCCAGGTATTGCCAAGGCTGGAGCGGACCAGCGAGGTTGGTTATATAGACTTAAAGTACTCTCTTGTTTCATATGACATTCATCCTTCTTGGCCGGGTCATCTTGAACACCGTCGGGTTAGTTGTTGTAGCTGCCAAGTGAGATTCAGCTACATATACGTGTCTTTAGTTTGGTGCCTTGCAGGTAAGTTGGTAACATTGCAGCTAAACGCAGCCTGAAGCTACGACTCGTCCATCGCGAGATAAAGGGAACTCGTCAATAGATAGCTCGCGTCACCAGTCGAATTCTCAGGAGCATACAACTGTATGTGTTTTGAATCAAATAGCATTTGGGAGCTGGAGCTCATTCATATTCGGTACCAACTGACAATAGTGGAATGAGTAAACCCGGTAACAGGTCCATTCTTTACCATATCCCGTCATAACTCGACCTCTTGAGATTCACTGCAGGACTCTCATTGGTCACCGCCCCGTCACGACTCAAATAACATCACAGCAGACGAACTCGTTTGGACCAGGGCACACAGGGTCTGTAATTTCCAGTAGTCAGCCTGAGCCCTTGGTTCCTGGATATTTACCCCGTTAAGCAAAGACTCTTACCTTGAATGATTCTGCCAGAAGGGCAACCAGGCGCGATGTTGGTCCAGACGCAGCCAGTATCTCCGCCGTACCCAGGGCACCTGTCGTAGACAGTGCAGCCCCAGACGTTACCCGGGTCGCTGGGGCATGGGTAGTTGCCAGGCGTGCCCTCGAAGGCGCGGCCACCGTATCGGTTCACGCACTCGTTTCTGTCGAGGCAGATGCATCGGTTGTTGTGGTGGGAACCGGAGCATGGACCGCCAATTCGCGCGAGGACGGAGATCGGGAGGAGGAAGGCGGACAAGACGGCAATGAGTTTCATCTTGGTTTTGTCGGTGCGGTGACTTGATTTTGAAGCTAGAGATGTTGATGTAGAAAAGAACTGAGTGGCTCGGGTCTGGTGTCCTCAGAGCTGGGGCTGGGAAGGGCTGGCAAAAATTGGATTGATATATGTCTCCCTCAGACTCTCCTCCGCCCTTGGGTTATTATCCCCTCAACCATCTCAGATATCAAATACTCGTAGCTCGGGTCATCTTCCATACCGTCGGGTTTACCTGTTGTGGCTGCCAAGTCGCAGATCCGACTATCTCGACGAGTGGTAGCGGCCATTGCAATGTGTGTAGAGGCCGAGGAACTCGTGTGTACGGATACTTCCCCTTCAACGCATGGCAGGACGGACCTCTCGATGGCTTACATCACGGCTCGGTTTTTGAGGCACATAATTGGAAGGCAGCATAGTCCCGTTCAGGAAGGTGGTGCTCTCCAATAGACAGTCACGGCCCACCATGTCTATTTCCCCCGTCGTTCTCATCGCGTTAATCATGCAGGATGCAGTCTGCATGTGACGTCCCATGTAGCCTTAGGGCTGAAGTAAGGTATTGATAATCCCAGCCAAGACTTTGCCTTCCGACGCACACTAAAACAAAACCTCCTCTCAGCCCTTCCCCGTGCGGCCTGCCACATCCAGTTACCATCACGACGGAAGTTGAGGTGTGCCAAGTGTTGTTGAGTTGGGTACCTAGGAACCTTGTTGGCCTTTCAAGAAGGTAAGACGGGCCATTATTTGCATTATTCTCGGCCGATTCACTTGACCGAGCGAGCGGAAAGAGACCATTGCCATAGCGTCAAGCACTCACTCAGCCTTTCAAGCGGAGATTCGTGTGGAGGGCATTGCCACTGGCGGCTAAGGCACTCGGGATGGGTGAAGAGGTGACAGGTTCATTTGGAGTTTAGCGTACCCCGTGAGACTGACGCTCAGTCTTGATGAACATAAAGAGGACAGATGCCCGTGCTGAATTTGTCAAAAATAAAAGCATAAACTCATCCACCGCAGAGACATCATAAACAGAAGCCACCCGCCGAAAACTCAGAATGGTCGAACTAAAGCGTCTCTTGCTTGCCAACCCCTTTCTCCTAGCATCAGCCATGGCCTTCCCTCCGGAGATAGGCGTCTTTGGTCGCGCCATCGGGGACAAGTGCAGGGGCAATGAAGGTGCGGGCACATGCCAAACGACGTCCAATTGCCGGGGCATCTCATACCCGCAGCCGTACTGCCCCAGTGATCCCAATAATGTTCAGGTTAATTCTTACCGTCATCTCCTTTCATTGTCGACGGAGTATTGAGCTGGGGTGTCTACTAACATGGTCATAGTGCTGCGTCGAAATTCCGTGCACGGTCGGTACCAAGTCGGGATACTGCCGCAGCGTCTCCAACAACGGCTGCCCCGGCGGAAGTTTTGACCCTGGCAACTATTGCCCCGGAAGCCAGGACATCCAGTGCTGTCTCAAGAACTCGGAGAACGGCACTGGCACTGTTGGCGAACGGGTGCTGGCAAAAGCAATGGAGGCAGCTGGTGTTCCATGTAAGAGTCGCTGCACCCTTGTGCCCCCGACCTCCCGAAACAAGAAACCAACAAGTACACAGATGCCTGGTGGGGAGGTTCCTGCAGCGGGCCGACGGGTGACGCTCCACCCTCGGACTTTGGCGAGATCGGCTTCGACTGCTCCGGCCTCGTCTGTTGGGCGCTCTGTCAAACCACCGGCCGCGATCTCTTCTCGGAAGGCCTGCGCAACACGCGCTACATGTACTGTGAAACCCAAGCTCGGCTCGGCTACGCCAAGTATCCCTTTTCGCAGCGTAAGAAGGGAGACGCGGTCTTCTTCGGGGACGCTTGTGACTGTTCGCTCTCAGATGGCCCTGGCTCGATTCACCACGTGGGGCTCGTCATGGAAGACGGCGGTGATATGATGTGGAACGCTCCGAATGACGATCTCAACAGGGTCATGGCTCTCCGTATCTCTGCGTTCGGAGAGACTCCATGCCCGTATGTCATTAGATTTACTTAGGGTAACTGGGCGGCGTCTGGTGTACTCGGAACCCGCGGGACTCTTTCTTCGCAAGATACAATAAGTGGTTTGAGGTCTGGGCCAGGATCTCATCACTGACCTCCGTCTGCAGTCTGGTGCTGGCGGCTCATTGTACCCTCGTCTCGCTCATGTCATTACATGACGTGTGCTTTGCTCTGGCGTCGGGTAAGATCAACGAAATCTCGTAGTCCAAACCCCTTGTTCCAGCCCTTGCCCTGCTCCCTGGCCTCCTTGATCTTCCAGAATATGGTGCCCTGGACCGGTCAGCTTGGCGTCTGAACGTAGTGAAGAGCAACCGGCCGCCTTACATCGTACGTCTGCCGCAGATCCTCCTTGGAGACCCGCCCATCTTTCTGTGTCATGAGCCAGGTGGTGCCCCACTCGAGGAAGGCAGCTCCCCACTGCAACTCGTCAGCACTCGTAACCAAGAGCTGGCGCGATGGCCCCAAGAGAAGGACATGACATACGCCAAACGGATCGGCCGCCAGCCGATTCGCCCTGATCATGTTCCACAGCTCGCCCGCCGACAGGGACCCCGAACCGTGAACATCCCACTTTGAGAACATGTCCTCAAACAGCTGCGGCACGAATCTGCCCTCTCTGTCGTACACGCCCGTGTCCGAACCGTGCTGCCAACCAGTCAGCCATCTCCGCCTGACTTGAGGACGCAACACAACAGCATCACGGGGATAAAATCCCGGATCTCACCTTGGCCTTAGGAATCCCCTTCACATAAATCCTGAACCAGGGATCCGGCCACCATGACACGGCCAGGCGCGTCGGGTACGAGAGAGTGGAGTTGATATTCATCATAGAGAACAGCGAAAACAGGACACTGAACCCCAAGTCCCGGAATCCAATGTACGTGTCCCAGGGGTAGATCTCGCCGTCGCCATCGCGGTCCCAAAACAGGACGTGTTGTTGCAGGACCGTCTGCTGGTGGTGTCAGCAACATACTCTCATCCCCTTCTGAGGAAAGGGTATGCAACAGGAAAACACGGACATAGTCTTTTATCTCCGGCGTCTTGGACTCGGGACTGCCGTCTGGCGCCGAAGTGGTCACGGCGAGATTGGCCCGGGCAATGGCCGGTTTGGAAATAACGGAGTCAGTGTCGAGGGCTTGGTGGCGTTCGGCGGTTTGCGGGCACCTGCTGACTGCGAGGTCAAAGGGCGGGGCGTCTCCGTCTTCGTTCAAAGCGCTGGTCATTGGACTGGACTCCTGATTTGACTTTGGGTTGGGCCGGCCCGAGGAGCGGGCAGAGGATTTCTTGCCCATGTTGACGCTGGCGATGGGTTTAAGTGTTGGTTTTCCCGGTTTGTAATGTCAAAGATCTTGAGTGAGGTGATACTAGGACGCTGAGTTTCCGAGCGAGGAGTGGAATTGTCCGCCGACAGATCACCTTCTCGCACTGCCAAAATGCGGCCTGTGTTTGAAATCTGACGGATATTCAAAAAACCAAGTGATCAACAGCTCCATCCGGATGGAGAATTGCTGTTTATGTGCGCGTTGACCGTTGCGCTGTTGCATGTGAAACCAACGCTCAGGCCTCGTGTGTGTCGTGTTGTGACGTCAATCATCTCTGCTGTTGTTATTCGGAGTGTTTGGATGGATGGATGGATGGAATTTATTTCGCCCGGATGCACGAAACCTGAAAGGCCTTGGCACGCTAACTAATCCGTACATCCACTTCGTTCGGAGTGTTTGTCCAGGGGCACCGCGAGTGCTTGCAGTGACAGTCACATGCAAAATGGCGATTACTGCATGAGAGTAAATGATGACTCAGCAGAACCAATTCCCCGATTTGCCCGATGTTTTGCCGGCCGGGAACCCGTTCGCGTTCCCGGGCCGTCGCCCGCCTCCGTAACGACCACAAACGGCGCCGGCGACGGGGCCCGGAAGGCGTCGCCCATCCTACTTCGTTCACACCCCTCGAGTCTTCCGGAGCGCCTATCGCGCATTCGTGATGGAGATGCATCGTTGGCGCCAGGATCCCGTCCCCTGCGGGGATGGATGCGAACCAACTGCCTCCTGACCCTCGAGGCGTGCTTGCTCGCTCATGCCATCGGAGCCTCCCTCCTGCCATCTCCGCCTAACCTCAGAATCTCCTTCTCTTTTCTTTCTCGTCATATTTTTCCTACTCCTGACACACTCCTTAGCTCTAGTTCACCATGCCGGCACAACAACAGCTGCGCATCTCTGAGGCGGACGAGGAGAAAATGCGCTCCTCCAGGATTACTGGAACGCTGCGAGAGAGTAGGAGGGTAACGAGCAGCCCTTTGCTGCTCCAGACACAGAATCGGAGCGCAATAGAACATGAATTGCCTAGACCAAGTATGTCCTCCCCAGCCCTCCCCCCCCCCCCCCCCTTGGGGGGGCCGGGCCTGCCCACGCTTTCCCAACATAATCCAGATCTCGACATCACGCTCAAGACACAATGTGCTAATATGTGAGTCGTTTCATTGTAGTTTCTGTGAAGTTACCCAAACAAAAGAGGGTAGACTCAACCGTCACGGTACCTCCAGAGGTGTGTGACTCGCCATTGGGCCCAGAACTGGTGCTAACCAAGTGAAGTTGTAGCAATATCGACCCCTGCCTCTTCTGGGTAGACTTCGTTCAGTACTCACCGGACGCATGGGTCCAGGCGCCAGTCCAGGCCTTTTTGAAAAAGAGGGACCGTGATCCTCTTACCCGCGCGACACCGGGGTACTTGTCTGCTCAATCCAAAGGAAAATTGGCTTTTTAGTAAGTTGAGCCGCCCTGCCAAGGGATCGCGAGATGGCGGCGGCGGCGCAACCTGAGGCAGTGATCGAGGTGGCCGACCGCCCACCCTCACCGAAACGACCGAGCCGCGCCCCGAAACCGAGTGC